GGAAACTCAACGAAAATACAAAAATATCGCCTCAACACTCTCAATTTTTATCGCGGCAAAATCAATGAATCCACGGGAGAGATTGACGTAGGATTACCGTGGATTACGTTGTTATTTTTTTCTTTCAATTTTCCGTTTTAACAGGTCCATCGAGCGATTTGACAAGAGAGCAATCGCATAATCGATGATATTCATACGAACAGCAACCGAGAGATAAATAATTAACAAAACTCAATTAACAATGATGCAGAGTGAGACAAGACAGAGACCAACAGAGTGCACAGGTAAATTACTGGGAAAATGTAATCACCAGTTCATTGTTTTGGTTATTATCTCGGGCTTATCTCGAAAATTAGTCGCCCTGGGGGAAAACGCGGAGAGAAATTCTTCCGAGAAATTGCAGAGCTAGGAAAATTAGTCTAGGACAGTTCGCGGAAGAAAGAGATCTGCAAAAAAAATATGAGATACAATTAATTGAAAGACATAATTGATAAATAAATTTTAAAAAGTAAAGGCCTATATCCATTTGTTAAGAATTTATTTAGTCATATAAAATTGTAGAATTTAATAGTTTATGAATAATTCTATCAGTATGTGTTTAACAATCACGCCCAATTGACTGTTATAACAAAAAAATTCTAATCACGAAATGTTCATGCATTTTCATTAGCTAATATTGGCGCAAATATGTCACAGGTATTGTTCACATAAACGAGGCGGAATCGATTTTCCACTGAAACGTGCCTTCGGCGATTTGCAATGAGAGACAAAAAATTAGGAGTTGTACAACATTTTAATTTTTCCATTACACAAGTCATTCAGTGAGTCAGCTGTTCTCCGAGGGAACAGTTTATCAAGTTAAAATGTGAATGTGCACGGAATTTAACGAGCGATTCAGTATTTTATAGTTTTTAGCTGTTTTTTCTTATTTTATTTATTTATTTATTTAATTAGCGTTGTGAGTGAGTATTTGGAGGAAATTTTTGTCATTATTTGGGTAATAAAAAATTTTAAATATTATAATTGATTTACATTTTGTTATTGCAAATTATCATGCCCGAGAATTGAATTGAATTATTTTTTAAAAATTTATTAAATAAGTAATAAAAATAAAAATTAATAAAGTCAATAAATTAATAGAATAGATTCTCGATTAAATTAGAAATGTAATTACTCTGTCAAATCAAAATTTTTTCATCTCAGAAGGAAATCTACATTGAGCTGCAATAAAAAAAAGGGCGTAATTTGGGGGATTGTAAAAAATAAATAACCGATAAAATTTAAATTTTTGCGTAATATCAGACGTCGAATTATATAGGACGTATGAAATGAGGGCATCAATGATTGTTTTACAGAGAAACGTTGGGGAATTGACGTCAATGTCACTGTCAATGCCGAAAGTAGGAATCGAGGTGAATTCCGTGTTTCGAATATGTGTTGAGGTTAAGTGAAATAACGAGAACAATAGGTGTACATACATGATGTTGCTAAAGTTGAGGAATCGATATTCTTGGAAAAGCCAGGCATCAAACTCCATTGGCTCTTCTGCCTTCAACATATACCGTTGACATTTTCCGATTCGTCTAAATGGACGTTATTATTCATTCGTTCCGGCTTGATAGCTTGACACTGTTGACATTGATCATTTATTGAATCACGCCATTTTATTTTAGGGCGGGGGTGAACACCCATTGGCGCTCTCCCGTAGTTCAAAAATCATGTTTTCAAGATCTAATCATCTTCGGGAATTTATCTTTATTTGTTTGAAGACTTAAAAAGTTTCACAAGTCCCAATTTGAATGGTCAACATTTTCAAATCCAGAATTTAGAACGAGAATGAAAAATTAGAATTTAGAAATGTCCGTTAAAATATTTCAAAGTTCAATTTTTAAACATCGAGAAATCTTTCGTAATTCACATAGAAAATTTGGTTGATGACTCAAAAAGTTTCACACGTTTGAATTTTTATTTTTCAGGATTCAGAACAATAACAGAACATTATATTCAAAAATTTCCGTTAAAATACTGAAAAATTACGTTTTAAAACATCTAAAAATCTTCTATTGATTATAGAATATATTTTAGAATAAACATTTTTTAGTCCAGAACCTAGAGTAAAAACCAACAATTGAAATTAAAAAATTTCAGTACATCAATAAATTGAATTCGAATCGAAAAATGTTGGCTGGAGTTTTCAGTACAACACATGAATTTTCCTCAATTTTTTTCACTGTTCTTCAATTTTTATTGACAAAATTCAGTTGAAAAAATTCTAAAAAAATTGGGGATCAGTCTATAGATTAGGGATAAAATTCAGTTTTTAAATTTTCCATCAAGAGAACTATTGGTTTGATAAATTGGAAATGGGGATTTTGGGCAGTCCGACGTCTCTCGACGCTGATAGAGTCGATGAAGTTAATCATGTCCTGATGAGCCACTCAATTAGGAAATAGAGTCATGACAATTAATTGCGGTTCAATGGCCATTGGATCGTTAGTATTCAGACATTATTTGCAAATACTGGGGATCACACGGGGATTCCCAGAGATTGATGAATCACCCGACATTTATAATAATTTTGGCTTGAAAATTATTTCCACAAATGCGACATCGAAATTAGGGCTTTGATGAGCCAAAATGACTGGTGATGACTGACGTGTTTACGTGTCAATCTATCATTACGATAGGAAGCTCATATTAATATCTTACATATTCATGAGATTTGTTTCCCTCAGGTTCATTACCGGACATTGCCGTGACGATGGCCTCAGGTCAGGAAATCCACGGAGTATTCAGGTAAAATTATCCCATAAATCAATAACTTTATGGGGCTATAAAAAATTTAATGAATTGTCGAATGACTTACTTCATTTTTACGGACTAGTTCTACTTCTTCATGACTTGTGAGAGTTCCAGTTGATAAATTAATAAAATTTTATATAGTTTATGAAATAACGTTATTTTGAGGATAAAAATACGATAGGATAGAACTCCTTAATAATTAAATAAAAATCCAATGCGGTATTTTGGCATGACGGAATTCTCAACTATAAACAATAAACTAATAAATTTAAACTGAAATTGTCTATTTGACGGTTTTATATTTTATGATTTGAAATAATAATAGAAATAGAATAATGTGTCAGTGGATAAAATGGGAGGTAAACAAAATAGATGAATATCCGCTCTAGGATTAGGAAAAAATTGATGAAATTGGAGGCCAATGCGATCTGGAATCGATCTTCTCCACCAGTTGGTCTGAGGAAAAACACGAGAGATGCCGAAGGTCATATCGGAAATGGACTACCACGAAAGATTCTGAAAATAACTCGTGTTTCTCTTTTCCCCTCCTCGGTGAATCCCTCATGTGGCCTGATGAAAGCGTGTTACACCCTCACCAAATACTCGTACATTCTACATGTGTTACACATGATGTTCCTAACAGTCCTTTACTATTTGTAACGTCTACACCATCGACTAATGCCACAAATTCTATTTGCGAATGGATTCACGCCCGTCATGTAAACCTTCAAGACCACAAACAATTGCACATGAGGACTCATAAAACAACCCATCGAGACTAGATATTTACAGAATTATTCCATCCCAATCAATGTAATCCTTGATTTTTTTCATTTTCTCATTTTGTCTCAAAGTAGATTTTCAGAAAAAAAAAATTCATAAAAAGGACTTGAGTTTAAAAATTAAAAAAATACAAATTTTAAGTCCATGAAAAGGACTTGAGACCAAAATCGGAAATTTTTTGGAGTACTGGAAATTATTTAGAGGTGTATCTGGACAGAATACGAATATTGATACACGAATTTCTCTAAAATTGTTTTATTTTTTCAAATTTTTCAAAACCTACTCGTTTTTTTCAACACTTCAAAATTTTCCACGGAACACACATTCGCGATTTCCAATTTAATTATTACTTAAAAATTTCCACATGATCCACTATCGACAAGAATAATTAGTTAATTTGTTAGAATAGTTTATTAACGATAAACTTCCATAATTCTCAAGATTAATAACTTCACAGCATCAAAACTTCATAAATTTTTTAATTAATCTATATTACATTAGACTAGACCAAACGCGAATTAAAAATAACTTAAAACAATGAATCCAAATAATAATTAACCCGAAATTAATGAGAGAGCTAAAGTTGTGAGTAAAAAATTCCACAATTTTAAAGGATATAATTAAAAAATTAATTTCATTTCATTAATTCAGTTCAGATGAACTTCTTTACAGTTCTTTACGGGAATTAACAGCCCCTGAGACACGACTCTTGAAGGGGAATCCCCAGGGATTCCATAAATTCAGACTCCGGGTTGAGTTTATCCCCAAAAGAATCTATTTATCTACAATCTGTTTGATTTATCTACTATTGCACCAATTAAGACACAGATTTTCGAATGGAATTGAATTTATCAAATTTCCGCGAAACATTTCTTATGAACCGGTCGATGTAATTAATCTGATAATTTGGTATGCACTCAGGATGCCGTTGCACAGTAATTATTAATATACATTTAAGACCCGGATGGACTGTCCGGAAAAGATAATTTACTCGAAAATTGGGACTTCTAATTACTCCGTCAATTAATCGTTTTTTCTGATAATTGTTAGCTAGCAGCCTAGTTGTTGACAACCGCTAGAACGCTAGTTAACAATTATTGAAAAAAACTATTAATTGCCAAAGTAATTAGGAATCCGAATTTCGGAGTAAGTTATCTTTTCTAGATAATCCACCCCAGCCTTAATGACTATTGTTGACCCACAAGATGATTTGATATGAGATTACTTCTAAAGTCTTTTAGAGAGAATTACTTAAGGCTCGGGTGGATTATCTAGAAAAGATAATTTACTCCGAAATTCGGATTATAATTACTTTGGCAATTACTTGTTTTTTTCAATAATTGTTAGCTAGCGTTCTAGCGGTTGTCAACAACTAGGCCGCTAGCTAACAATTATCGGAAAAAACGATTAATCGACGGAGTAATTAGAAGTCCCAATTTTGGAGTAAATTATCTTTTCCGGACAGTTCATCCGGGCCTTATTTCAATTTCGTTGGAGAATCGACGACGGATGGTTTTGCCAATCTTTCCGTATCTGCGAAATTGTGGAAATTTATTGACCTCGCTTACAGATAAATTAATAAAAAGACGTCTCAATTCAGCAGAAATATCTAGTTGAATCGAGATGAAAGATAGGACTGAGATTACATAGCGCGAACGTGCGCCGCAAGTAGTGACGTAGGAATTGACGCAAGCGACAATTGTCGGCTATTAAAACCTGTTGTAGACGTCGACAGATCCGTCCTTATCCCCTCTGCATTGAATAGTCCACGAAAACTGCCGAGTACGTGTTTCAGCTCAATTTGTCCCCTGATTGCCCAACGGTTGAACGATCTTGGCATTACGTGGAGAAATTTTAGCAATACGATATTTCAATCGCATGCTATTCGCTCTCTCATTCATTTCCGGGTGAGCAACAGTTGATTTGTTAATACTTGATTGTTAGATTGTTAGTTCGCTTCTGACAGCATTTCGAGTATATTCCGATGTTTTTCAAGAATCGAATTGCGAGGGAAACGATAATGCCAGAGCAATCGCCATTAGGTGAGGCCTCAATGACTTTGTAGAAGCTGGAATGGAAAATTGTTGGAGAAGTCAACCGTAAAATGAGAATTGTTGCGTGACGGTTATGAATTCTGAGGAATTCGTCGCTTTTTTTTGTGGAAAAACGCTAATGGAATTCGACAAGAGTTAAATGAAAATTTAGATTATTCCAAATTATTATCTCATCGTTTTGCATTGGTCTAATGGTTCGCTTCCAGATAATCTGTATTATTCTCCAACGATCAACAACTGAATCAGCAGCTGCTTGTGGAAATCCATTGAGAATGAGTTCCCAATATATCCATCATCCAACGCACAGCAATTTCCACTAAAAACAAAACTAGCTTTCGTGTTTATATTATATGAATAAATTCACGGCGTCATTGGGCTAGTTTCCAACCCTTGATCAATCCCAGTGACTAATTTGCACATTCTGATTTTAGCCTAGTCGTTGATGACGTTGATTCGTCATCAATACTCAGCGAACAGACGGACTGCGAAGTTCTCTCGACCGAGTGCAGTTCTCAAAATTCATCATCACAGACACCACTGGACAGTCCTGGGGGCCCACGTGAGAGGATCAAACAGATTCAAGTTGAAGCTGAAACACGTCGCGATGAATTTGCACGACTCCTCGAGGAACATGCACAGGTTGTGAGGAAATTGAAAATAATGGAGGCTGAAGAGCAGCTGTCATCGACCAGTGGAAACGTCGTGCATCCAACTCACGCGTGATTATTCACTCATTGAAACCAAAAAGCAAAACCAATTAATGGAATTCAGATTAATGGGACCAGATTTTTGGTCCTCAAGTATTAAGAAACCATAATTTTCAATGATGTTAAGGACTGATGTTCACTGGTTGTTCTTATTTTTTAATTCCAAACGTTTGTTTTGAAAGCTGATTTTTTTAGATGCAATGACCCCGATTTATCGTATATCCAAGTGGAATTGTTCTGTGGAATCTTTTCATAAAATAAATTGACAGATAATCCCTGAGTTGACGTGGAAATTCAAGAGAATTTCTGAGGAAAAGCGCTAGTTTTCTCGGTTAATTGTTTGAAGAGTCATTCAAATGCTTTATTACAATAAAAGATGCAATAAAATGGAAGCTGTAAAAGTTGGTACCATAAACTCTTCCGCTTGGATATCATCCGCGTAAAAAAAAGAAAGAGAATCGTAAAGGTATGGTAAAAATAAATATCATCAAAGTCTGACAATTTCCTCCTGACATGTGACAATAAACAATAACAAAAATACAACACTCGTAGGCCTAACACTGTACTCCTGTAATGATAACGTAGAAGGAGGAAATGTGAGCAGAAATGCGAGAATTGTGAGCTCATTGGCGTTGTAATAATAGAAGTGTGAAGGTGTTAGCATGTAATGACCCTGATGAAGTCCCCTGGGGCTGACCCAGTGAAACCAGAGGCTTACTCAAAACAAATTAAGTCTAAACCCCTCAAATAGAGTAACCGAAACACTAGCTTTACGTTAATGTTCATAGACTAGTGATAGGGCTTTGATTGTACAGTTGAATTAAAATGTCTGTAACAATAACGTTTTTCTAGATAAAAATGATAACAAAATGCGAAAGACTGTTGACAGATGTGTTTCGATTGCCGGAGACTATTCAATTTGTGGTTTCATTTTATTTCCACTGTTGCGTTACAATACCATGATAATAATAGAAATACGGATACAAATAATGTAATTCGGTGATCGTTTTAGTGATATGTAACTATCGATTTTGTAATGAAAAAGAGAACAAAAAACTTTGTATAAAGAGATGAATGCTTTTGGGTTAAATGTGATTCTTAGGGAATTGGATTTGACCTAGTTGTAACTTTACACCAATTAGAGTTAATGCACTCATTGTAAGACGTAAATTATAATAAACAATGTAATAGTGTTTAGCAAATGTACCATTGAAAATATATAATGAATATATATTTTATTGAGTTGGTAAAATCATATATTATTTACATAAAGTTTTATGAATTTTCAAGAGTCGTATCACAGTATAAACCTCATTATTCTAATTCCAGGGCATGAACTCTCTCGTTATTTTAAATTAAATCGTAATACTTAAGTTATTCTCAAATAATTGATGACACATGTTGGTGGCCTTAGGTTGATGAATCATAAAACAAAAAGACAGCTCAATCGAACAGATGATTCATAAGCAGATGAAATAAAATTCATGAGAATATAAAGAAATGTGAGTAATAATTTAGATGAAAACGAGTCGCGAATATTAAAAAAATCCTTTGCACACATCAATTTTAATCGATACAGTATTATATATTGATAAATAGCACACGTTGAAGTTAGTCGATACTTATTTGTTAATCACGCAGTGAGGGTAAAATCGTTTGGAGTTTGAGAATTATCGCTTAATTTAAGATTCAGGGCGACGTTGAGTCGCCAGGAGCATCATACGGTGGCTCAATTTAACGTTATGATCTCTGAGATACCTTATCAGATCAGCCTGTTTCTCCAGGAGTTCTGTGAGGTCTGAGCCTCTCTGTTGGTAACCAACTTCTGTACTACCTGCGTATGAGTCCTGAGTGAATGACGTCAGCCATTCCTCTCTGGTTACGTCAGGCGGAGGTTTTGTACGATTGAATCGCCTCACACGTTCTGAAAAATCAACAATTGGTCGATTGTCCTTTCATAATCAGGGGAGATTGAGGGAAGTACTCACTTATATAATTCACATACACGGGAACAATGATCATCAGTTCCAGGGTAGTCAGCAGCAGGACATAATTAACTGGTGTAAACCACTCGGAGGATCGACAATACGCCTCATAGTCAATCTTGTGGGTGTGATGGAGGAGAACAGCTAGTAGAAGGTACGCTGTGTTCCAGAGTGAAGCTATGAATAGGGGAGTCCGAATGTGCTGGTAGGTGGACTGATAAAAATCCAGGTATCCGCAAATTCGCAGATTGTGGTGTTTAGTGCGGATTATGTAGTCGGTGATCATTATCATCAGCCAGTAGGAGCAGTGAAGGTACAGGAATATGAAATACGTCTCGCATTTGTTGCGCTCCTCTGGCCACAGTGATACGAAAACTATTCCAGTTATCTCCAGGACAGCCTGAATATACCCATGATAAATTATGGATATAAATAAATATATATATTCGTACCAATACATTCATATCTCTTCATTTCAAATCATTTATTAAATAAACTTTCAATTATTTTTTTAATATGTATTTTACATAATGTATATAAAATGTTTCTTCATTTTATATATTATTAATTTATTAATCAAATAAATAATGAAGTAATTGAAATTTTCTTTAATAAGTTCAAATTGAATCAATTGGTAAATTAATTCATTATTAGTTTGATAAGTAAATCCATAATATTGAAAAATATTGACTCTTCCTAAATATTCTACATAACCTCAACGAAAAATCATCGATTAACGTTTGCCACTGTCTAAGAATCAAGGATTTATACTAATTAATTGGTCAATTGAAGAATATCATTACCCCAAACAACAAAGGGACAGCAGCAAAAAAGGTTGTATCCAACTTCTGGAAATTCTCTTGGTCCTCAGAGGACAGGACAGGTTGAAGATATTCCTCACTCATGCTTGGAGTATCGAAAAACACAATGCCTTTAACAAAAAATCGATGATAATCATTCCCAACAATCCAACTGCGCGATAACGCACTTTTTCACTTGTCAAAGCGGATGATGATTATGACATCCATCGAAATCATCGAAATGCACGGACGGTGATATTCATCTCGAGGTTATGTTTATGTCGATCGTTGTGAACTGTCTGTAATCGATTTGTAACATTTGTAATTTTGTACTCAGCTACTCATCCTATAATTGCACAATTACAGAGGCTGATCAAAACTCATCATTTCGGATTGATCACGCCGTCGATTGATGATCGGACTCTCGCCATTCGTTTGCAATGATTACACATTTTTTTTCATTATCAATGCGGATATTTTTATTGTTTTCTCAAATAACTGAAGAAGTGGTAATTATTAAAATGAATTCAATTTTTTTCTCACACAAAATATTTCTTACGAGGCAAGAAGTTTTCATTTTATTTTATTTTATTTTTTTATGAACACAATCATAAAAATGAAAATTCTTCACGCACAAATCTGGAGCTTTTGCTGTAAATCGAAATCAAATCGGATGAAATCGAGTGCAAGTACATGTATTTCCTTAGTTTTTTTTTTCATTACTGATAAACGAAAATTTTTCAAGTATATAATAGAGAACGCTTGCGCGTATATCAAACACGTGGATATGAGCTTTTAATCTGGAACACTAGAGCTGGAGCTTTTAGTATCGCATGTGTCAGACTTGTGTGAACATTACTTGATTAAATAATTTCTCCCTTGAATAATTTTATATAAAATTAAAAGGGCGAACGTCAAGTCTTCATTCTCAATAAAGAAATTCCATTGTCCATCGATAGCATAAAAAATCCAAATATTAAATAAAAAACATATTAAAAAATAAATTAAAGAATTGTTTACGATAAATCGGTAGTGAGGTGGCTGGAGGTAATTAATTACAACAAAAAATTTCTTTTTTACTGCGTAATTATTTCCGTAATGAGTAGCTTTGAGCGAAAATGAGGGAATAATACATTATGTGATTTTCGCGGTGAAGATTTTCTCACAGGTGTGAGAGGCGAATTTTTTAATCACACAGTGCGGAATTTTACATTACGACGTGCGTAATTCGGCATTTACCGCACAGAGTGATGTAAAGTTAAATATTCTAGGAATGTTTTTTTTTTAAAGGATCTGAAGATTTAATATCAGAAGAAAATATCAAGAGATCTTTCCTCTAGGAAATTTAACCGGTTGATGATTTTAGCTTGAATTAATCGAGATAAAATCATTAGAAATTATTAGAACTAATTAGAAAAATCTGCGGAAAATGGCGTCGAAGGAGGATTCGGCGGCAGAAACCGGTCAGGCACCGGCGAAGGATGACATTTATGACAATCGCCCGGTTGCAAAAAAAATAATCCGGATAATAACAGTAATGGCGTACTTGGTGTCAGTGAGTTTCGTCGCAATTGTCCTGAGTGGTTATTACATATTTCTGTGGCATCCACCCCCTGGGGGATCGTTAAGCCTGCGGGACCCCCACAGCGAGTATTTGATGGAGAACTCTCCCTCTAACAACAGAAGTATCAGTGAAATCATCGAGCGAATGAATTTATTCCGGAAAAATACTGCACGTCGTCGAGGACTCAACAGGACGTCATCCCATCACGACCGATTGAATATCGATAATTCAACGAAAATTAACTTCAATCATACATGGGAATATCCTGACACATCGCCGGGTGTTTATGACTCTGTCACTCATCAATTGATTACGATTCCGTCATTAATCGAGACGAAGATACCGGAGGGTTCTCATGCCCTCGAGACATCCGATTCTTCGACGTCCGAAGGTAAACAATTCATTATCTTTTTCTATCGCGAAAAATTATATTGTTGCAGAAAAAATCGCGAAGTAAAATATAAATGTTTGTCTGCTCCTCCACGCGATTTTTCGCAGATTCAAAAGAAGAATTAGAAAATAGAGAATTTTCGTCTGATTTTTTTTATAACAAATGGGTTGGGAAATTGAGTTAATTTGTCGGTACAAAGTATATAGAAAGCCTTAGAAGTAGATAACATGGATTGGTACTGGTAGAATTATCCATGTACTTGAGTTAATATCTGTAACAGGGTCGACAGGTTGTGCAGGGCTTCCCCTTATGTAATTCACCCTCAGGGTCAACTTTTTGCTATTTTTCTGGTTCTCTAGTTCAATTGCCGCGAGCCATTAGGCGATGCGAAGGAATGTGCTACATATATCTTTCCGTTGGGGTGTAAATATTTATGCGAGGTGTAAATACACTTCATATTGTTCTTGAAACCGGAATTTATCGGTTCGAGATGAACTAATCGGTATGAATGAATACTAAAACAAAAATTCATTGGAATTCAACTTTTCTTTCTCAATTGATTTATTATTATTTATCATTAACACTATTTTTTCTTTTTCTGAATTCATTAATTTCACAAATTAATTTGACGTAATTATATCTATGATATTTTGGATGAAATTTTTATTCCTCTTGTAAGAATGTAGGAGACACAATATTTTACGATTATTTAATTATTTGACTCGATCTTCCATTTATTGTTAACAATTAAACTTTGGTTAAAAACTCGATATAATATAAGCTGGGTTGGTTGTGGTATATTTAATGTTGCTTGCTCGAGAGTTCGTCTCCAAGTGTTCTCGGTCATCAATTCGTCCAGGGTGTCAGGTCTACCCATTAGACAAGGCCCTTTGTCTATGGGGTTGGTCCACGTGTTGGGCTGTTTCGTAATGTTTCCATTATTCCCTCTAATCAGTCACAACGGTTCTCTTGTTCGTTTTAACGTCGAAAATATTTCCAACAAGAAGTAAAATTCTAAAGGGGTTTGAGCGTATATTTCAAAACACTCCACCTCAGTGAAATATCCTCTTCTATAATTTGTATAATTAATATTATTAATTTATACTGGTGAAAGTAACGTAGTGTTGGTTAACAATATATAAAGTGTAAATAAACGCAAACAGAAATATATATCTCAGTTAATATTGGTTGAAGTAGCTGGATGTGCTCTCGCCCGAATTGCTAGGTGAACTGCCCTCATGTCCACTTTCTAGTGGAGAAAAACTCCAACGCATCATTCGTCATTCGGCATTTGTTTATTGTAAACAATAGCAGGCAAACGTCGCCAAGGTCCAGAATTGTTTCTCGGAAGATTTATACTAAGGCGCTGGTGGTCTCCACACAGTACGGTCTTTGTTCCTAGTCCAATGAGTCTTCCAGAATTTTTCCCCATACTCTTTTCCATTTTTCTATATTAAATTTATTCATTAAGATCAGAAATTCATGGAATTCATTCAAAAGGACGGGATAATGAAAAATTTTCAATTTGTTTAACTCTGCAGCGAAAAGACAGAGAATAGGTCAAGTTTTGGAGGAATATCTCTGAATCCAAAGGAGATAACGCAATTTTCGATAGAACCTTTTTTCTAGCTCTCTGCTTATCCTATAAAAGAGATCTTATGAAAATTTGAGCTATGTCTATTAGATTCTGAGATATTTCCCAAAAACTTATCTTTCAGTGAAACCTATTCTGTGGGTTTTCGTTACTGAATTGAAAGAGAATACTTAGAAGGAGGTCTGGAATATTCCATAGCCTGTAGAGAATAAAAACTACTCTCTAAAAATAATATTATTGGAATATGGGTGTAAGCGAACAAATAAAACCGAAGACACAGTGAAATACTTTATCGAATATTCTTTATTAGCAGGAGGAAGGCACGTCTTAACTTGAGGACCGTTGTCCAGAGACTGAAAACTATTTAAAAGGGAAAAACTCTCTCAGGGAAAAGACTAAACCGAAAAACAATTTTATGACTCAAAGGGTCACAGTCCTTTGTTGAAATTTCAGCATATGTTTAGGATTAAATCAGTCTCGGGTTCGGAGTACAACCGATCGTAAATTAGTCTCTTAGTAGAGCTGTTTTTCCAGAAGATTAGGATGGTGTCAAGTAAATTTTGTAGGACAATGAAAGAGCTGTACTCAAATATTTCAACAAATATAATATATTTATCCTCCTCGTGAATATACTGCCGTGAAATCAACAATTAAAATACAATAAACGTTAATGTAAAGAAACTCTAATAACAAGGCTTAGTAAAAATATGACTGGAGATATTTGATGAAGCGATGTGAGCTCATTCGGGTTGAGAGGTACTGCCCGATGGGTTTTCCGTTGTTGGAATCTTAGGCCCAAGTCCTCTTTGTTTAGAACTCAGGTTAGAGTCTGCATAACCAATGTCCAAATGATTTCCAGATGAAAACCAGAGGTGTCGGGTAGAGCCAAATAAGGCCCTCATTGTCCTCAACTGTTTATTATCCATTCCTAATCGAACGCGTTTAAATTTTCCCTCACAAGCCCTTCCAACATCTCCAGCAATAATTCAGTAAACAGAGGTATGTTTACATGATCTATTACATCTAGAAGGGCGTCGTTGTTTGTTCAATTTAGTGATTCAAGACCTCTCGATCTTACATAAAGGTGTGTCTTGGGTACGTCTGAACCCCCCAAAAATTTATTAGAACCTGCAAATGTCATAAAAAATCCATTATATTTCTACATAACAAGCAGATAACAAGTAAATAAAACCAATCTGATAATAGAAATTCCCCGCGACGATTTGAAACTCTCCGAAAAAATTATGCAACCGATGGCTCTTCATAATTCCACGAATATTTTGACATTCATGTCCGCAAAACAGAAAAAGGAACTTAATCGGATGAATAAAACAATTTGAATAGCTGGTGAAAATGAAATTCAGGGCCAGACGTTATTTTTCTGATAGTTTTCTGTTGCTAGAAGCGTTGAAAGGTCTGTTTAATCCTCATATTATGCCCTGAAATGAACAAAAAAAAGTGCGAACAATTGATGAAAAAAAAAACTTGCTATCAGCCGGGAGACTGCGCAGAGAGCAGATTATTTTGAATAAAACCACGCAAACTCAACTCTATAAATAGATCAATGTCTGAAAAAGACAGGCGTGATCCATGGGTGTAACCGGTGTAACTCAGGATGAATATCAAAACCGCAGGAGTCATAAAATTCGATAAATTAGACAATTAATCGTGTTCAATAATGCAAATACCCCGAAAAATGAGTGCACAGAACGTTATGGCGAGCATAAGTCGAACCCTGGGAACTCGACACGATTCAAACGTCAAAGCTTCCAACGAAGTTAAATTCGCGGGTGAAGAGAGTAAAGACAAGCTGTACGAACCTAAACATCGGCAAAAGGCATTTCGAGTTATGACTGTTGTTGCTTACGTCATATCTGTGAGTCTGGCTGCCATCATATTGTCCTTGTATTATATGTTCATATGGGATCCCAAGGATCATGCAAGGTTTGCTGTAAGGGCTGGTGTCAAACATAATCTCACAGCCAAGGTTGAATGTCTAAATCCAACTTTATCGACTGGGGTGGAACTTGCCGCGGTCATTGGTAAAGCAAAAAAGCTCATTGCATTTTCATCAAAATTCATCAAAAATTATTCCAATTATATATTATATGTTTTATACATTCATTAATTTTTTTACTCATTGCCATTTAAACTAAATTTCTTATTATTTATTTATTCGTTATCTAGTATGAAATACAGAATCTATAAAGTTGTCACTTTCATTTGAAGTTTAGAATTAATGAATTGATTTTTTGAATTATCATTATCATTTGAAATATAATAATAATAATAATAATAATAATAATAACAATAATAATAATAATAGTAATAATAATAATAGAGAGAAACAAATATGATTTTGGTTTCAGGAATTCAAGAAAGGACAACAGCAAAACCGAACGTCACAGAATCCTTAGAAAAGGAGAAATTGGTTTATCCACCTGTTTACCTCGAGGAGAATCAGCCGATTGAGAGGCCGGAATTGGAGGCTTCTCTTAATCCTTTACCAACGATAAATCCCACGAGCGCTGAATATCAGGATATCTCCGTAGAAAACGTGGAAGAACCCTTAGGCATTGAATTCGATAGCGATAGATTGACGCGTAGGTAAATCCAGAAGGATTTAATCATTCGAATCATCAAGTCTTCGTGTCAAAATAAACGATTAGGAACAATTGACGATTTTTCGATCGAAAAATACCTTCCAGTACTTAATTACTAGTTCTTTCAATGATACTATCAGTTCAAATTTATCTAACTACCCGACAATTTTGGGAAAACATAAGTTATATTTATGTTTTGCTTTTGAAAAATAATACATTTGTTTTTATAAAAAGAGTTGTAATACCACAGAAAGAATAAATTAGAGAGTAAATTAAAATAAAGTGAACGAAAAATGGATGCAATTCAATTGAATGTTAGAATTACTATTGACTGTGAGAAATGAGCAGTGGATAAACATTATTATTTGTTAAAAAATGATTTATTTGTGATTTCTCCAACTAATCTCCAGTCATCAACATATGTACATCTTTTTCAGAGGCAATCATCTTGCCAGTCCTCTCGGTACCAACGATTCCAGCAAGTTGCATGGCATCGTATTTGCAATACAAAACCGTAACAGTCATATTGCTCTCAGTTCCAGCTTTAGGGTTCTGATTAGCTTCGTGCATAAGATTACACATTTCAGAGTAAAACCCAGGAAAATTGGGAGGAGCAAAGAAGATGATATGTCTGATGCCCTTAACCCTTATCCTCCTGAAGAAGTGAAACCTCTCAGAGTAGAGTAAAAAATTGGCATCGCTGTGAAAAAACATATCCCTAGCCCTAGCCACTTTGGCATCCCTCGTATACTCGCAGATCTGGACAAAACTCAGCTCCTCCTTCCTGAGATAATTCCTGAGCTTCACAAAATCAAAGTAAGAAGGTACAAATATCAATGTATGATTCATGATGCTGTCTTTATACTCAGGCAGAATCTTGGAGACGAAGTACTCCATTCGTGCCTCGATCGCCTGTCCATAACTGGATGCTTGGAACTTGTGAAAAACCTGTGGCAATTGCACTGCGACTTGACAGACACTCCCTGAGGTACAGGAATTTGCCACCCTGACCTTACCAGCGTAATTCAAGCACTTTTTATTGAATACTGCCTGGATTTCTGGCAGTTGAATGCTGGAGAAAATGAGGGTCTGCCTGTAGTACTTGGACCAGCCATTAACACTCCAGCTCCTAAGCCTTGAAAAATCAGTATCGTGTGGCTTTCTGGGTTGGAGATGGAGATGATCCAGGACGTGGATCAAGTGATCCCAGTTCTGCATGAAGAATAATTCTGTCTGGTCCATTATCAAGAGTTCAATCGACGCCAGAAAGTCGTAATCTCTTTCCTCCTCGCCCTCAGCTCCCACAATCATCCTCATCCCCAGGACAGAAGAGATTATAATGTCTGAGGAGTAAAAATCCGAGTACAACTTCAACGTCTTCTTGGTCACTGCTATTCCAATCTTGAATGTGTCATCAGTGTTTCCCCTGAACGTCTGCTCGTAGTCCTCAGGCTTTGGGTTCTTCTTGGGCATTACTATCTCGCCTCCACCAAAATCCTCGAGGAATCTCTTTTTGTTTGCGACGGATCCCCCTTTTTCTTCTCCAATTAAAATGGAAATCAACAACTCAACGATCTCCAAACAGGATCTCCTGAAGGGAACTATTATCAGGATCTTAGGACGTACTAGTCCCTGATCTCGATATTCATCTGGCACTTCTCCCATCGATGATTTTGAGGATTTTGAGAGCTTCGCGTTGTGGTGCAGAATCTTGGTCCGTGTCTTCAGCAAGTGGTTGACTGCGTGAAGACAGTAGACGAATTTGATTTCATTTTCGTTTGAGAAAGTCCTCTCAGTGTAGAGCAAGTCCTGATAATTATTTATTATCGAGAGCAACTCTTTCTGGAGTGGAGTTAGGGGAGTAGGATTCGTCTGCAGATGATCTTTTATGTTGGGAAAGTTAGCTCTCGTAAGATTTCCATGGATTTGAGATTTTATGTACAGTTTGTCCCAGTCGACTTTGGAGATTATCGAAGGAATGATTCCAGGTTTCGCTATGTTTTTAGATTCCAGGGTTTTTGCTGATGTTGGGGTTGGTGGGGGATCTGAAATCTTTGGGATCTGATAAATTAGCTTTCCCAAGGTGGGCCATGTCAAGATTTGAGACTCGACAGGATTCTGAGAAGACAGGAGCTCATACAATTCATCCGGTAAATCGTGATTCAGGTGGAGGGCAAAAGGATCTTTTATCATTCCTTGATCCTCACGGGACGTTTCATCGTCCTCTTCGTCCTCTTCTTTCACCTCTATTTCGATCATCTCTCTGTCAGCCATTGCTTCCTCATTTTCTTCTTCACTCTTGCCTTCATTTCCATCTTCCCTCTCTTCATCGATTTTTCCCTCTTCTGTTTCCTCCGCTGACAGATCATCCCTTTCGGAATTTAAGTCTTCTTTGTCGCTAGTTTCCTCCTCATCTTCAGACTCAGACTCAATAGCTATTTTATTTTTCTTCTGGGAACTGTTTGCAAACGATGAGAGGAGAGTCTTCATGGGGTTCTCTTCTTCGGAGGAAGATTCAGACTCATATCTACGCTTTTTCGCCTCTTGTTCTTGTAGAATTTTTCGTCTGTTTTCTATCTCCGCATTTTTTACGTCACGATCTTTTACGTACGAAGCCTCTCGCAGATTGAATTTTCCCTTTTTCTGTTTTGGTTTTGGCTTCTGGAATTTTGAATTGCGACGATCTCGTTTGCCACCACGAACCGGTCGTTTACCTCTTGCCATTTTTTCATCACCGATCTGAAATAAATAATTATTAATAATTATTAATAATAATAAGTCATAATTATTCCAAAGAAGTAAAACATATTTAAGAGATGACACTGTAATAATAATTATGATAATACCCACGTGCTCTTGTTGTCACACCACAGAAATTATTTATTAATTCAATAGCAAGAGGAGCAGATGAGTTATAAATGTTAGGACACTTTTAGACACACGAGGGGTTCTATCCGCCAATAGACTTTGAATAATTATTCATCTTTTAAATCACGAATTAAGGCCAATTACCGATAATTTGATGTAGGCAATTGCACGGTAATGAGAGGTTATGTAGGGAATGTTGACAGCGCCAATATATTTTAACTATTCTTTCCAACCATTTTTATAAACCAGTATAAACATCATATAACGTCACCCAATATTTTTAAATCTTTCTTTGAAATTATTTTTAACTGATAAGTTAAGAGTAAATCAATCACGTGTTATGGAAGGGTTAAAAGTATTTTTCGAAAACAATTTCCTTGAGTTATGAAAATAGTCAAAATATGGATCTAGATTTTTGAAAATTCATCTAATTCCAATTTTAATTCATGCAACAATTAATTGCAGGAGAAAATATTAATAATCGATAAAAATTCAAAGAGACGAAATTATTTCCCCGAATTATTTTAAGCATTAAAAATAATATAAGTTACTTAAAGAAACTGAACAAATAAATTCTATTAGGAAAAATTCCTCAGTAAAATTCTGTACATCATCTTGGCAAATATGAAATGATAATTATTCACCGTATATTGAACTCAACGTTCCTTTATCTCGTTAATTTTTTCCTCTTCACAAGATAAGTGCACTGACGTTAATTCTGCGTAATTCTAATTTAATGTGAAAAACGAGGAAGAAAAATGCAAATCGAAAGATTTCTGCTGCTGAGGATTAGCATGAAATGCAATAAACTGACTGATTATCCGTAATTTCTGGAATTCGATTCACAGGAAGGGAATATTACATATGCTCAATTGGAATAACTTGTTACGAGAAATAAAGCCTTGGGAAAATGGCATTGGGATTCTGTACAACATGGAAGTAACCAAGTGCATACCGGATGTAGGAAGGAGACAAACGAGATTAATTAACCCTTCTGTCAGCTTGTGTTCATCTACCAGCACCAGTCGCTTTATTACGACACAGTTATATTTTGTGCGTAAATCCACTCCAAAGAGATCGAATTTCGTAGTCTTCCATCGGAAATTCAAAAACTCAGTAAATATTCATGACTTTAATTAATATCCGGAATGAAAATATTAATGCGATAACATTTTGACTGAAAAATTATAAATATTCATTTTTCCCTGTTTCTTAGAAAATCAGAGGAGATTATAATTACCTGGGAATTCAATTACCTATACAAAAAAGTTTTGTTTTTTTATAATAAATTAATGAAATTGTGGAACTTTCGGTGACTATCAGTTTCAAACTCTCGGCAAAAATCACGCATTGATTACGAATTGATTTTCGTTAATTGCATCAAAGAAATTGAATTTTCTTTGTTCTTCGAGTCTAGAAAAAAGGGAAAAGTTTTTCTAAAACAGTACGCCCAAAAATGTATTTTTGTTTACATTAATGATTTATCCCATTTCATTCCCTAATTATTCACCGTAACGATAATTTATTTCCTCAAGCTCAAAAATGTATTTTTAGACAATTTAATTGAATTTCTCCTATTTTTTTTATCGTTTTGCTCTGAGTGTTCCATTCGAAATAATCAAAATCGAAAAATTAACAATTTTCTCTAGCAAAATCTGTGATGCGCGCGCATGGCACCCCCACCAGATGCCAGCACATCCGACTTTCCAACACAATTGCAAAGAAAAAAAAAATGAAGAAAAAGCCATCCGTGTGTTGCATCCTCTCGTATAATATATCTCTCAGGGGGAGCCGAGGGCCGAGGGCGCTTCAACGTTAAACCGTGAAACAAAACGTCGTTAAAATTTCAGATTCAGTTCATCTCCCCAATAGCGTGTGTCCACCCGAGCAGAGTCCCCAGGACACCAGCAAGATCTTATCGAGTTTTTTTTAAAATCCCAAGGAATAGCCAATTGACACAAAGCTAGTTCTCCAAGAAATGTGGTGATGCGGTGACGATGGGTGCAACGAGTACCCCCCTGAGTAATTGAAATTAATTGAGGATCAGACAATCTTCGGAGGACGGTAGAAATTTTTCACTCCCTCAAACTGTTCTGCCTGACACAGCCCCAGGTGAAACAGTTTTTCGTGTCTGATGAGAAACTCCATTGAATATTTGGTGGTAAGATGGCTGTGCAGTTGGACGGCGGGGGGAAAGAGGACTTGAAAACACAATTTGTAACCCGCGAGGGTACATACAGACTCATGACACTTTCTGAATACTCAAGGCCAAATAGAGTTGGTAACACGGATACAAGGGGTAGTGCATCAGTCAGAGTGTCATTTGTTACATTACCAGATTCAGCCGATCCCAATGGTACACTGGGTCTTGGTGATCGAATGTGTTTCAATTTTGGAAAAGAATTGTATGTTTATGTTTATCGTGGGATAAAAAAGGTAAGTCACTCGTCAAATATCTGACGAATTACTTCCACTATTGTATTCCATCTATTTACTTCACCAATCGACAATATATTATTTTTGACATAACCTACAAGTTCAGACTTGAGATAAAAATGACTCCATCTTTGACTGTAGAATCGTCACACCTATTTACAAAGAATAGGTGAATTGACTCGGTATTTTTCATTGAGCTGGAACTTGCCACTCTGTCGGTGATGAGTTTTATGGTTTTTAGAGGATTATTACAAATAATGGAGGAGGTGGGAGCATTCCCATGGGAAATTGATGATTTATTGTATGATTGTTAGCCGGTGGACCTGAATAAACCGGTGGACAAGAAGCTGTACAAGGGGACGAATCCAACGTGTCACAATTTTAATCAGACCACAGCAACTGCTGAGATAGCACCACTCCTCGTTGGCTTTTCAACTGGTCAGATACAATTGGTCGATCCTATCAAGAAGCAGTTGAATAAATTGTACAATGAAGAGGTAGGACAATGGAACTAGAGATGCTAGAGATATACGCCAGTTCGTTTTCCATTTTTCCAAAACTTCTTCTATTATTGATGATATCTTATACAAACTCTTACACTTTTTAGACATCAATGAGGAATTTTAAATTACTAATTATCTTTCCGCTGCTGAATTCATTCAGATACATTTTTTAAATCTTAATTTCTTCATTAATTCATCCAATTTATTTGTATAAGAAAAATATGATGATGTATAATCTCCGATTGTTCCAGAGGCTGATAGATAAGACAAAAGTGACGTGCATAAAGTGGGTGCCAGGCTCGAGAAATCTCTTCCTGGTGTCCCACAGTTCTGGTCAGCTGTACCTCTACAACTTCGAGTTGCCCTGTGGTACAATGCCCCCTCACTACCAACCCTTCAAATCGGGAGATGGTTTTGCAATTCACACGTGTAAAACAAAGTCGACGAGAAATCCCCTGTACAGATGGGTAATTGGTGTTGAGGGCTGCTGCATCAACGAATTCGCCTTCAGTCCGTGTGGGGCAAACCTAGCTGTCGTCTCCCAGGATGGATTCCTCCGAGTATTTCATTACGACACAATGGAGTTGGTGGGTTCAGCGAGGAGCTACTTCGGTGGTTTTTTGTGTGTCTGTTGGTCACCAGACGGTCGTTACGTAGTGGTGGGAGGTGAAGACGATCTGGTGACAATCTGGAGCTTCAACGAGAAACGAGTTGTAGCGAGGGGCCAGGGGCACCACAGTTGGGTCAGTGTTGTGGCATTCGATCCCTTCACCACGTCTTACGGCGAGCCTGATCCCGATTTTAGTGGGTCTGATGACGAGGCCATAACTCACATCAATCACACCAATCACTATCACGAGAAGAGCAAGAGGACGTCGACAGCCTCGCAGGGTTTGAATTCCAACAGAAACTCTTGTGGCTCTGAGCTGAGAGTACCTGGAGGCACTTGTTACAGATTAGGAAGTGTATCTGAGGACACACAATTATGCCTGTGGGACATCACTGAAGATGTTCTCAGGCAGCCAGTTTGTGCCAAGCAGAGGGCCTCCACTGCTGGATCTGGAAGCTTTACATCATCAGGGAATTTCAACAGTGGCAATGGCTCTACGTCAAATCACATCAATAGCAAACACAATAACATGAACAACATCTCCAAGGACGAGAGAAATGACACAACAGCTAGTGTTGCTGTGTCAACCGTTAATTCATTAACACAGAGATTTGCTGGTCTTGGTTTTGGTGATAGAAAGGGTGATAATCATAAGAGAAACTTTAGCTTACCATTGAAAAGTACAAGTACGAGTAATAGTAATGTACAAGTGCAAAATAGTGGTGAAAAATCAACGACTAATGGAAGTAATATGAGTAGTGTCAGTGGTGGTTACGGTGGTAAAAAAGTTAGTTCTGTGATGGATGATCCAATGAGATTAATTGGTACAGCTTGGTGTCCAAGATTTGATGAGTGTCCTGTACTTGAGCCACTTGTTTGCAAAAAATTGGCACAGGAGAGACTGACTGAATTAGTTTTTAGGGAGGATTGCTTCGTTACTGCTTGTCAAGATGGATATGTTTATACTTGGGCAAGACCTGGGCACATGGTAGGTCCTCTTACTATAAGCAGCACACTGCACAGGCCACATCACCATAGTAACGTACACACTAATATCAATTCTATGCGGCTTAATGATCTCTGATGGACAATTTATCCAGGGCTTTCTCCACCGGTTATTCAGTCTTTCCAACGATAACTTCATTTTTTTTTTATTGTCTTTCTGTTATCCTCCAATATTTCGGGCAAAAACAATTGCTAGGGGATTATTCAAACTCAAAATGCAATAGATACAAAATTGCAAGTAAATGATTCATCTCTAGGAAAATGTCGACAGTCTTTGAAGTTTTTTCTACTAACTATTTTTACAGAATGCTTTTCATTAATATTGAAGAATAAGGGAATTTTCATTGGGGGAAAGTAATTCATGTACTATTCATTTGCTGATTAATTATTGCAGTTATGTCTTAATGTGGACGTAAATTTCTGTGGGAAAAGGGTTAGAAAAAAAGGCAAATGATGAATATTCGAAGCGATAAAAATGACAAAAAAAACTAGATAACGTTGGGGAGATAATTCAGCCGGGCCTTAATGACTTTAATTGAAGGAGGGTGTGTACTCGAGGTATAGCTGAGACTTCGGCTCGTTTTTACTTTGCACTTGTTTTTTAAGTGGGAATTATTTTACTGAGCAGCGAGATATCTATAACAAACTGTGTATTGAATTTTATTCAATTGTCCGAGGTTTTCTTTGGATTTGAAGTGAATTTTTGAATTTGGCGAATATTTGTAATAATAATTTTTATGCACGAGGTAATTTGATCGTGAGCTGGCAATTTATCGTGATTAGTTTTTTCTCGAGAAGCTGTTCTTTGTTGAGATAGAGGTTGAGGAGCCAGGATGGAGACTTGAATTGGTTTTTTTTTCTAAAGTGAAATTTCATGGCCCGAAAAAAAGACTTGTTACTTCCAACTTAAAACGATAATTAACGAGATAAATTGATGCAAAAATTTAATTGATCAGTTTATTTATAATAATAGAATAACCAGAGAAGTCTTTCAAGTTTCCATTTGCTCACCTCTCCCTAATACAGTGTTTAAAAATGTCTGGATAATCTGGTGAGAATTTATTTACACATTTCCCACTGAAACGATTTCCGAGGTAATTGTACACCTCTAGAATCGATTCTTCCGTTTATATTTTACCACTTCACTGAATTATCCATTATTTGAAGGTTTTCCTTATTTTTCATGTTAAAAGTATTAGATAGACTTCTAGGTATTTATCCAAAGTGCGATATTGCGTTGGAGAGACACTGCAAGTTTCTTCGTCTCAATTATTTTTAATTAATATATATTTTTCTGAGAGAAATTCATTAATTAGTGATGTACGTGGTCGTGTGCCATTTCTAGGAGACAAGGGGCGGGGGCATTAGATGTTCAATCATGCTCATTTATCCTGGGCTCATGACCCATCACTTTAAGAGTACATCTGCATTAAATGCGCTATTTTGTTCTTTTAGTTGAATGACTAGGAGATTTACATCTGATTAGCATTTTAGTTTTCTTTCCCCACCCTTTATTCTCCTTATTCGACTTATCAACAGGGCAGGCCCCTCTAAATGAAGAGAAGGAAATGATCCAGACATTTTCAAAATCCCAAACTCTTGCACAGAGTATTTAGTTTATAGAGATTAGAAGAAATGTAGTGGGAATGCTAGGAAATTTGTTCAATACTATTAATTATAATACATCCTCCGCCCCCATTTATCATCCATCAATTTGTGACATTTAATTCTTTTTGTTAAAATGAATTTGCATTGTTGTAAAAAATTAATAAATCGTGAAAACCAAAAGAAGAAGTTGAGAAGAATACTCAGATAGTTTTTTTTTATGTATTATAAGTTGAATGAGTCCAGTTGCTTGCTTCCCTGCTTGAAATACTTATTTTGTTGAGTGAATGCGTTACGAGAGCATCAGTCCCATTTTTTTTATAAAAATAAACTAAATTAATTAAATAACGAAGTGTTAAAATGAAAAAGTCGAATTGAATATTTTTATTAGCTTTTGAAATCTTCATTTATCTCGAAAAATATAGACTTATGGTGGGACGTTAGAGGACTTTTTTGTAGTGGATTAAATTTTCAAACAAAAAGGACTCCTGATATTTCCTCCTAAAATCAGTACATTTTGAGATCAATTGATGTTTAACGCAACAGTAAAAATTGAATTATGCCAGAGAATGAATCAGTAAAATTCTCGTTTTTATAATAAAATAATAGTTTTGTCAATTGAATGAAATTTCGAATCTGTTATCTTTCCGCTTGAATTTATCTCTGCACTCGGAAAAAATTATTTTTGCCAAATAACTATTTATTCATACACTCTCATGAATATTTGTGGAAATGCCGGCAAAAAAAATGTTTTTCCCAGTGAGAGATTTATTTCGATAGTCAAATCTCTCGTCAATGATTTATTTATTAATGAATGAGTCGTGTGCTATGGCTTTGCGGGATAACGTGGATGGCCGCTACTCCCATATTTATCGCATGGTACGTATAAATTATTATTTCCTTCCTTTGCCGTTTATAATTTAGTTTGACAAACACATTAGCTTGAAATCGTTTGCACATTAGCTTGAAACCAACGAGGTGTAATATTTTCTTGTGGATATTAATTCCCCTGTGAAATCCAATGGATGAAAATGAGTCAGTCAGTGAGTTTGTTGATGAAACGGGGTGAATTTTTTGAGGTATAGAAGTGATAAATATATTTTTTGCTGCAGCCAGGACAACAAGTCCTGACAGTTCCACACATTGTCAGCCCTGGTGAAAGTGGTGGGACAATAGTATAGCCACAGCCTGAATCACCGATAAACACATCAACCATTGATGACAGAAATGGTGATAATTCACACACATCATCAGGAGCTACAGGAGTTCAATTTGCACCACCAACAACTCATCGTCATCTTTATTACGTATGGCCGAGCGAGAACTACTCGAGTCCAGTTTAAAAATTTCACTGATTTCAACAGCAACAGATGAATATTTTTTTCCATCGAGTCAATGCGTCCAACCAGAGAGTAATTCATCGAATGATCAACATATAGTTTAAACCATTTTCACATGCTTTTGTACAATTTTTTAAGTAAAACGAAACAAACGAGAAATTATTACAATGTTGAGTGGCTATTATAAATATTGAACTGAATCAATAGATTTTAAAGAGCAAGGAGAGAATTCGAAATGTGAATCGTTGTATGCCTGAAGTGTAATGGTTATCATTCCATCATTTGCTTGATAGTTAGATATTAGTGATTGCAAGAAAATGAAAAACGTCAATTTATAGGAGAAATTATGAGTCTTTTCCTAAAAGGTTTTGCAACGCTATCCCTCACCCATAGAGATCGATTGATTATCAAAATAACTGTCTGTTAATGAAATGGAATATTAATTTGTTGATACGGCGCAGCTCAATGAATCTGTTAGCACAATTTTCACAAGAGATTGATAAAAAGGGAAATCGCCACTCTTAAATTGCCTTAGTAAGATCGTAAGTAAAGAAGAAAAGAATTTTAAGATTTATGTAACGACCAAGTTCTTCATTTTCTCACGTTTATGATTATAGGAGCAGTTGAGTATTTTTTAGCTTAAAAATGGTCGACGTTGAAATTTGTGAGAGAATCGACGGGTGGAAATCATGAGGACATGATAATTATTGGGAAATTACATTTTTGTCAATTTTTTGTAATCTCTGGTTTGAAGTTTATCATGCTAGTGTGAAAATATTTCCAGAATTGGTTTTTAAATGGTATATCAGAGAGCACTTGAATGGTCATAAGAAAATAATGATGAAAATTAGGAAAAACTGTTGAATGTTGGCAGATGAAGATATTAAATCCAAGAGATTTCCCAAATTTATAGAAAAGGCATCTGCAACATTAAACAGTTCATTTTGATTCTGTATTCTTTCACTTTTTCATTATTATTTTTTTAAAACCACTGAAGCGGTTTTCGCAACAACATTTGCAACCTAAATCTTAAACTATTTTACACTAACGAGATAAAATTCAAAGCAAAGATTACGCTCGATTGACACATTTAATTTAAGAGACTCCCGAAAATGTAATTTTCATGGAAAATCACTGAGACGTCCTCGACTCGCTTTATTGAAATTTATAATGAGTATGCCATGGGCATATGACCAGTTGAAGGAAAATAAACGAAGTGAGGAGTAGTTTCTGCACCTGAGGGCTATGAGATTTTTCTTTCAGTTTTGGGAGACTGAGTAATTGAGGGAGTGCATGGAAATAAATCTAAAAAAATAAAAATAATTCTTAGGGTATTCTTCGATAATCCTATGGTTCTCAGGTGTAATTAATGTATTATAATGGGCAATGGGGCGAATATGGCAAAGTATATAAATGAATTAAAGAAAAAATTAGGTACTTATAAAATATCCTAAGGATAGACAGTATTTCAAATAAGATATTCCACAAGGCGATACTTCATATACATTTATTTATAAATAAATTACCAAAAAATTGATAAAACCAGATGTTAGATCGATGATGAAGTTATAAACTTTTGAGTAGACTAGTGAACTGATTGTACGATTTTATCGAGGGCATTTTCTATTAAAATTAACAGAAGGAAAAAACAGAAAAAAAAAATAAATTAATGCCAAAGTGTACGAAAAGCTGATTAATTTTCGTTTTCCAATTTACGCGGGTAAATTGCGTTTCCATAATTAACAGAAGCATGACAAAGAGAGCTAGTACAAATTATCATATTTTTTCATATACCTGTTGCCATGTAGTTGAGATTATTTACATATTTAGTTGAACTTTACATAGTTAATCATTATATTGAATTAGTAGTAGGCCATTATTATTCACTGTAATTGAATAATTTGTTTTGTTTTTTTTTTTTTACTTTCGTACTCGAGGTTTCGTCTAAAAGACACTTCTCAGCTCACCCCCCCTCCAACTCTGTTCGTAAGAGTGAATTCTTTGTAATTGTAAATGGATGAAAAAAAAGCAAAACATTTCATTGTTAATTGGGTTTCTTCATTTTCCTGGCAAAATCCAATATTCCAGTGATTTTTTGATTAAATATTTCCCATAGACTTCTCAAGGTTTCTGAAATAAAATAAATTGTCGTTTAGAAAATACCTCAGCCGAAAAATAGGCTCATCAAATCGATAAAAAAGTATAACATATTAAATGGCAAATTTTTGAGGAATACTTTGAGGCGGGAGATTCATAATTCATACGTTTCCGCGGGTTCTGTTCAAGTTGAGATACTAGGTTATACACGCAATCAAAATAAAAGACACCGACATATCGAGGAGAAGCAGAATCTTCGACTGTTTCTGTCAGTCTGACATAATGAAAAATTCTTCGTTACCTGAATATTGAATAAAATTTGAAGAAAAAATTTGAGAAATTTATGGTGCCCTCTGAGAAAGGAGAGAACTAAAAATCGGAAGAAATGGAGGGAAAACAACATGACAGCAATAAAAAACGAAAGGTAACAGCAATTATCCTCCTAGGAAATTTGATTCTTATCAATTATTTACCATTTGGATAGCCAAGAGTATCCAGTGGAGCTCCCGCAGAAAAACGAAAACGAGTGGAAAATAAAGAAAATTCTACACCGAACAGTTCCCAGAACACGAAAGAGACTATTTCCACCGATAGTCAAAATACCTCAGCATCGAATAGAGAAAGTCATTCAAGTATAGACGCAAATAATAGAGAAACTAACAGTAAAAAGGACGTAAATAATTCACAACAGTCTGCGCATTCCTCAAATGATTCTCTTAATCAGCACACGAGGTAATAAAATAAATAACATATAAAAACTTTACTTTTCTGAAGAAATAAAGACTTTCCGCTTTAAATTTAAACTTATTGCTTTAGCATACAAGCTATCAATGACGAGAATTCACAGAGAACGAGTTCAACTGAAGAGCCAAGTCCCCCAAAAAACAGTCAGGACACGGAGCCGTCGCCAACTGGAACTCAATCCGTGGAAGACGTGGTCTGCACGAAAATCTCTCACACGGAAAAAATTCCGGAGACTCCCCCAAAAGAGGAGAACGGAAAGAGGATAAAGTTCAGGGATCAGAAGGAATTGAAGAAGAGAAAGACTGAGGAATCGACAGATCAGGACGATCCCCAGACGTCTGGGGAGGCCTCTCAGAAGGCCCGAAGGAGACGAAGATGTATTTACGGCAGCAAATGTTACAGGTACTGTCAAGGGAAAATTTATTTATCAAAGAATGAAATCATTCGAGTAACAATTCATCTCCCTAGACGAAGTTCCGATCATCTAGCCGAGTTCAGTCATCCTGCAGACGACGATTATGAGATGAAGAACGAGCGTCCAGAGTGCAAATTTGGTTCTAAATGCTACAGGAGAAACGCCGAGCACTGGAAACAATTCAGCCACCCAAAAACACAGAAAAGACGTTCGACAACCGCCAGATCCCAGCGTTCAGATGACTACTCCGATGCTTCCTCGGAGGAAGAATCCGTCGACGAGTCCGAATTCGATCCTTCGGGACTCGATGAGAGTACAGATGAGGAGCAGGAATATGAAAGCGATTTTTAAATCTGATAGAAAGAGCTTCGTATTGTAAAAATCGTACCTGGTATACACACATTTACAAAACATGAATGATTTTTAGACAATAATTACTCGTAGCTTTTCCCCATTTACCCATTTATCTTCCTTAGAATCCTTGATATCCCTCATCATCTTCTGTTGGATACTTTCCAGCAGCACTGATGGCCACTTCTGCCAACATGTGCTTAGGAATCTCTGAGCCCCTGACTCTAATCATGTAACATACGTTCTCCATTTTCCATAAACTCTGTTTTAACGTGTAGACTTTTTGGTTGATCTCCTTGCCAGCGATTCCATAGCACACTAGAAATCCCTTGTACATCTCCCTGACGACGTTGCAGGTCTGAAAACAGCTGGCAATATCCCCAGAGGCTAAATTATTGATGCATTTTCTCATTAACTCCCCAGTGAGGTCAGCAATTCCAAGAATGTACTCCGTTGGGGGCAGAAGCGTTCTCACAGTTCTGACTGGATCTTTTGGAGTTGACTCCCCTGTCTCTGGGATTCTGTACTGGAATGTTTGGTCGAATGTCTCCCAGTGAGGGAGGGAATTGTCTGAGAGGTAGTGGTAAAATGTCACAGCCTCGATGAACTCCTGCAGTCCTCCTCGATATGCCCTCAAAAATTGGTAAGGGTCTTGGCCCTCGAGCTCACAGGCTATTCCCTTGAATAATGAATTCCTCAAGGTCGATATTCGACTCTTTGCCTCGGTGAGGATGGACTCTCGTTTCGAGTCCTTGTCAATCGTATGCAAAAGGAAGATTATTCGCTTGCTTTCGATGGTGATGTCTCGGTTGATCTTTACGATTCTCTCGTAACGATCATGTTTGGAGTCCAATTCCAAGGAATATCCTCGAAATTGCTGGATCACTGGGTTGGCCTCGTCGATGCTCTCTAGAACTTCACGACCTTTATCTCCGACATTTATCTTCTGCTTGGTCGAGTGATGGTGGTGACGATTTCGATGAGCTCCACTCGGATCTATTAAGTATTCCACGAAATTACGCAAATCCGATTAAATAAATTAATCAATTAATGAAATATTCTGTATATTTTCTAGGGTTTATTGAACACTTCAGACTATTATTCTAGACGAAATATCTTGGAGAATAAATTAATAGAATAATAGAATAATAAATCATATGTGTTTACAATTATAATAATATATATAATATAAATGAGAAAGTTCCTCACTTCGTGCTTCAGACATTCTACGAACTCCTTGAATCCCTGATGATTATTGAATTCGATGTTTTTTCTATTGTTGAGGTTCGATTCCGACAGTTGTTTTGACAGCAGAAGTGAGTTTTGAGGTTAAAGCAGTTAGAAGAACAACAGTGAAATGCAGACAGAGGGCGAATATCCGAGAAAAACACGCGTGTCTGCTCCGTCTTTTACGACCATTGCTTAATAATCTCTCATAAACATTTAGCCACTTGAAATAAAAAAATGACAGATAGCGAGGATGATGTTCCCCAGCTGAGTGCCTCCACCTTGGCAGCTCTTCAAGAATATTACACAGAGTTTCAGGAACGACAAGATCAACTGACCAAAATGATGACCAAGGGTCGAGTAAATCTCGAAGAAAACGACATTGATAATCTCAATCTCTCCGAAGACTGGGTATAAGATTATGAGATTCATATGATTATTATATGATTATTAAATAAAATTTTGTGATGTAACTTTTCTTCTTAATTGCTTGATAGCAATTAAGTCAATTCTGGTACGACGACGAGACAGTGGACGTCATCGTCAGAGGTGCACTCCAAGGTACAGAAGCCGATGGAAAAATAGCCCTTATATCCTGCCCCACGTTGTATAAATCACTGAAGAGACAAGCTGGGGGTAGAACAGGTAATAAAATCAATGAACATTGAAATTTACTCCAGCATATGATTATCTAAAATAAAGAAAACTGCTTTTCTAAAATTAATTATTAATTACTTTCTGATTTCAGTAACATTATTCGAGTATGACACGAGATTCTCGATGTATGGGGCAGATTTCGTTTCATACGACTACAAATCACCCTTAAATCTACCACGAGAAATGTCGAGCATGTACGATCTAGTAATAGCAGATCCTCCATTTTTATCGGAGGAATGTTTAACAAAAACTGCCGTTACCATGAAGTTTTTAACTAAGAGGAATATAGTTCTCTGTACAGGTATAATTTATTCTATTGTGTGTTTTTTCTATTATTTCTTTTCGCCGTTTCCTATTATTTTTATCATTGAATGATTACTCTAGGTGCTGTAATGGAGGAGTTGGCTGGAAGACTCCTGGATGTTCATAAATGCAGATTTGAGCCACACCACAGAAACAATTTAGCAAATGAATTTTATTGTTACTCTAATTTCGACTTCGATAAATCGGTGCAATTACATTGAGTTCAGGGGACAAAGTAGTTGACATTTTATTTTTTATTGAGGAAAAAGTATCTGAAATATCTATTTTGCTCTATTTTTACTGACTAGAGATATTTAGAGTTTTGAGTTATTGAGATGAGCGTTTTGGGCGAGTTTTATCGCATAACTGGCTGTTCCAGGGGCTGTGCAGACTCCGTAGCCCCCATGACCGTAATTATGCACCACCTGCAAGCAATTATTAACAATTATTGCTTTTACTGAAATTTTTCTTCTCTACTGAAACCGATGATTTCCAATTGAAAACCAATTTGGCAATTAACTAGGATGTGTTCCATTTGCTTATCTTAAATTAGATTCAAAATTTATTAGATAATATTTTCATTGGAACGTACAGTAGCAGATCTACGTCCATTTGAAATTTTTTCAACTTCCACTCTGACTCCTCCATCCCTGTGGGGCCTGAGGCCTACTAGACTCTCGATCAAGTGTGCATTCTTAAGTGAAGGAACCAGGGCAGTGCACCTGTCGTGAATGGCTCGAGTCTCATGAGGACATGGGGATGCTCGTGTCGAGTCGAAGTTTCTGGATCCACCCAGAGTACAAGATCCATCTACTCCAGGGATGATGTACGTGTCGAGGTCTCCGTAGAAAAAGGTCTTCAGCCATGGAGCTTTCACCTGTTAAAATAATCATCTGAAATGCTAATCCCTGAATTATTCTCTAGTAATTATGGGGGCAATTATAATTGAAATGTTTCTCTCATTGGATAAATGGAGCAAAAATAAAACCTTCAACACTTGTCCTCTTATGGGAATCATTCGCCTATCGCCACAGAGTTCTCGGGCCCCTAGCCCTGAGCAATTTATTATGACGTCATACTCATCTATTAATTCATTGATATTGTATAATTTCCGTTGGTAGAATTTCGTACTCATTGCCTCCAGTCTACAACACGTGATAATTCATTATTTTTTTATTCGAAAAATGAAATGATTCATCGTACTGTTCAATTACATTACAATTCAATACTGAGGTCTTACTGATTTTTTGCCCATGGAATGTACGACTTGCATTGTATCATAATTGTTGTGAAGTACGAGCCGTATTTCCAGTGGCCTCCAGGTAATTTCAGTTCCTCCTCGGTGACACTGCGATAATGGGGGACCAATGATTCCATCCAATGATTCTGTAGCAATAACATTCATCGAGATAATAATATTCATTAATAATTCAATGATAAAATCTTCACAGATGTGTTCGGGCTATTAGTCCACGTCCTTTCCTTTAATCCTGATATTTATTAAAGTGAAGTGGATAACAATGGATTTAGTGATATTTACAAAGAGTTTAATGAGAATTATTTGTTTTAACAATGCAAATAGAATATGTTCAGTGCAAACCTTCACCGCAGCTGGTCCTTCATTAGAGAAAATATATCCGGAGATTTGGACGACGCCAGCAAGAGCTGCCTCTCGACTTTTTCGAATTTCATCATAGAATTCATAGGAATCGCTCACCCAATTCCTTCATCCAATGAATAATAACATAAATCAATTCAAGAGGTTTAATGACATTTATATACAACGTAAGTATGGATTTGTCAAGATAATGAGAAATTGATTGTTCTCCTTTATTTGAGTAATGCAGTTGATATTAATTTGAGTTGTAGACCCTGCTAAATTATCTTTTGTTATGACTTGACTTCTGAATTATTTTTGGGCCCAAGTTACAGTACTGATAACACACCTTGTTATCTCCTCGTTTGGTCCCAAGAAAGAGTTTCCAACTCTGAAAATCCCTGCAGCCACGAAACTCACGAGATCCTCGTAATTCTCAGCATAAATACTGATATCAGAATTTCTCCATTCTCGTTTTAATTTCAGAGCAGTTGTTATTCCAACCACACCTCCACCAACAATTGCGACTCTCATTGCAATGAGTGTTGGGTAAAAGCTGATAAACGACTGATAGTAAGGTCAGTACAGAGCAAATGAGAATTTTAAATTTCGCAGCTAAGTGCATCATATACCGCGCACGATGCTCGCGCATTCCATTTTCATGTAGCGACGATGCGAGTTACGCTATTTCAATAATAAACTATTGATTGTTGATTGCAAAAACTTTTTCAAATAATAGTATACGAGCAAATCGATTATTCATTATCGTAATGCTTTCTCTTTTAATTGGCAAGGTGAAAAATAAAATTTGATGCATTTTTGCGAAGTATCTCGTCAAGTGATTGCCTCAATTATTATATTAAGGGCCGGGTGGACTATCTATCGAGCGTCATCTTTTATTTAAATTTTATCTTTTTAACCTAAAATACATAAAAATTTGGGATAAGTTTTGAGGTCACGAAAATCACTGGAGTTGGCATAAAAAAATAATGAAAAAAAAGAGGAGAAAATTTTGAAGGGCGCTAAAGAGCGATATTTATGAAAAGGGATTTTCCAGGTTTACAAAAAAATAATG